GTTTTTTGATCCAGAGTGAGTCCATGAGTAGGTTTGTGAATAAAGATGTAGATTTTACTTGTTTTTATACCTTATACACGTTTGGGAACATTCACAAAAGTATTAAAATCAATTAGACCATCAGGTCAGAGAATGTGAATRCTTACTGGATCAAACTCATTTATAGATCAGTCAGAAGAAAGAAAAATACAYGGTGAAGGAAAATTGTGAAATTTTCAGCCTGTTTCAGATGTCAGAAAGACTATAATTAGACTACGATCCTCAGATCTCAGGAGGTTAATATAATTTAATATAAAAGACCCATCATAAACACAGTCCTGCACGCTGCACATGTACCTGGTTTTTGCTCCACTTTCCTGCTTCTTCTCATCATCTTCCTCATTCTCCTCCTCCTCCTCCTCACCCTGCTGTCCCTTGAGCATCTTTAATCCGCTCTAGCTTAAAAACTAAAMCACATAGAGACTTCAAACCTGGACTAGATTATTCTACACTGATTGCATGTTTAAAACCAAGTGTGTGATTTGTGAAACATATATTTGATATGTGACGCTTAAGGAAATATGGTGATTTCAGCACTTTTTATGCATTTTATGAACAAGCGTGGCCCGATGGAGAGAATTATGCTGCGATCAACTTCACACCGAACGCACAAAAACACACAAACGCTTCAAGTTGGACTCTTGTGCACTTTGATGTCAGACAGACGCTCTTCAAAACTGCTCTTGATGCGCGTCCAAAGCCTCCTCCTTTGCAGGTTCATGGCAGATGAAATAAAGAAAATGGCTTTGCTTTATCAGAGTCAGAGTTTCCAGCATATGTTATCTCTCCAGTACACACATATGAAAAAAACAAAAACAAGTTAAAAGACGTAAAGTTATATGAAGATATAAACATTAAATTCTGTGGATTATATACAGTAATATTTGCATTAGTCACTAGTTAATAGGTCTAGTGTTTGGGATTGTTCGTCAGGAAGATGGCCTGAGGGAAGAAGCTGTTTATATGTCTGGATGTTTTTGAGCATGGGGCTCTATGGCACCTACCAGAGGGGAGAAGTTGAAAGAGGCTATGTCCTGGGTGTGTGGAGTCTGACATGATTTTCTCTGCCCGTTTCCTGGTTCTTGTTGTGTACAGGTCCTGAAGTGTGGTCAGTGGAGCACCAACGACTCTCTCAGCTGCCCTGATTGTTCGTTGCAGTCTGTTCTTGTCCTGCTAGGTGGCCGCTCCGAACCAGACTGTGATGGTTGTGCACAGGACAGATTCTATGACCGCTCTGTAGAACTGGATCAACAGTTCCTGTGGCAGTTTCCACAGGAAGTAGATCCTCTGTTGGGCCTTCTTGAGGATGGAGTTGATGTTGGTCTCCCACTTCAGGTCTTGGGATGTGATGRTTCCCAGAAACTTAAAGTTTTCCACAAYGRACACCGGKTTGCCAGTTATTGTTAGAGGGAGTCGTTCTGGGGGGTGTTTCCTGAAGTCTACGGTCATCTCCACTGTTTTGTGTGTGTTTAGCTCCAAATTGTTATTTACTGAGAGCAAGAGCACATCACGCTTACCAGATAATTAATTAATAATTAATTTATCAGATAAGTGAGTTTAACTAGGAGCTGCGCACTGACGAGCTGATCCATGCGCCCATGTTCCATCATTTGTTTGCATGTAAACCGGACTCCCCCGACGCTCAAAACGCATTTGGTGTGAGTGACTGAAGCAATAAGTAGGCCTAAGTCGGTAAACTTTATTTAAATAGCAGTTTCCATAGACACGAACATCGCAACGTGCGTAACAGAAAAAGAAAAACATATTTCAAAATATTCATAGACTTTTATTTTTGAAATCTCCGGTTATCGAAACATGTCACCACGAGTTGGGGAAATTGATGGTAATATTGTGCGGCTACATAGAATTTTGAAAATTATTTCATTTTGAATGATTGATTCAGTCACTCTAATTCTCTCACCTCTCCATCAGGCCATGCTTGTTCATAAAATGCATAAAAAGTGCTGAAATCATCATATTTCCTTAAACTTCACATATCAAATATGTTTCACAAATCACACACTTGGTTTTAAACATTCTGCAATCAGTGTAGAATAATCTAGTCCAGGTTTGAAGTCTCTATGTGTTTTAGTTTTTAAGCTAGAGCAGATTAAAGATGCTCAAGGTAGTGAAAACAGGTGGAATCGCCCTTTAGCCAATCC